TGGAAGGGCTCGACCCCGGCGAGGAACCAGGACCAGGACGCTGAGTGGAAATTGGAGTTAATGAATTTGCTTCCTCAAATGACGGACGAAAGCCGGGCCAACACTGAAGAGATAGTGAAGTTGCATCGTTAAATGACGGACGAAAGCCGAGTCAACCCCGAAAGCCGAGCCAACACCCAGAAAGAAAGCTCTATTCGAAAGGGAATCGCCGCGACCGACGACGGAACCAACATGCGTTTTTTCCTTTGCCTGATAAAACAGGAATTCCGAGAATTGGAGGTACCAGAAGAACAGTGGGGACTCCAATTAAGGAAATACTTGACGGGTAAGGCAATGGCACATTGGGAACTCCTACAACGTTCGGGAACGGAACTCTCAGATTGGAAACTCGTACGAGAGAGACTGTGTGAGAGGTTCTGCACCTTGTCGCGCGAAATGATGCTGGAACAAATGAGGAACAATCCATGGCGGGGAGACTATAACGAGTACATCTCTCGATTTGCTGAAATAGTAGCTCAAGGAGAGACCCTAGCGGCTGAGGAACTGGTGTTGTGCTTCTCTGCGAACATACCAGTGGAAATAGGTGACAGACTGACTCAAGATGGAAACAAGGACTCCGAAAGCTGGCAAGAGGCTTCCGCAGCTTGAGGCCTGACGCGCGAAGAGGCAGCGTTACGAACAGGAGATCGCTAACACGAAGCGACGATCCGGGTCCGGCGGGAATACTAACGCATTAAGCCGGATCTCCTTGACCGGAAGAGGAAATACTGCAGACAAAACGGTGCGATTCGCTGTTATGAATGCACAGGAAAGGGGCATTTGGGAAGGGACTGCCCATTGCGTAACGGAGTAACGAGACGAAGAGGAGAAACCTGCTCGAAGTGTGGAGGAAAGGACCATTACGCTAGAGAATGCGCAACAACCCAACGAACACCGCCTGGATGGCAGGAGGGACGGAGTTCGACGCCAGCTCTTACGGACGTCAACGCGGGGGTAAACCGGTTAAACGACCAGGCCTAGTCGTTAAGGGAGACGAACGCGCTAGGCCAGAGCAACCCTCAGGTGGCAATAGAGGCCAGGTCGCAACCGAGCCCAACCCCATCACAGTCTCCCAGAACCGGGGGCTTCAGGGGACAAGGAGGGATGCCATGTCTAGGAGAAAAGGGGAACGTAAAGGGAACGGACAGGGAAGGGGCGATTCTCACCCACTGAGGCGGGTGCGGCTACTAAGCAAAGGCACGGTACGCGATAACGGGGGTGAGACGGACGGAGGAGAGCCCTCACAGAGGCACGTGCTGCTACTAAGTAGTGGCGCGGTACGCGACAACGGGTGCGAGGTAAGCGGAAGGGAAGGAAGCGTGGTACGCGATAACGGGTGCGAGGCGAACGGAACGGAAGGAAGTGCGGAACGAGACGACGGGAACGAGGGGAACGAAAGGGAACGAACGAGTTCCGACGGGACCGGGAACGGCATGAACGAGCGCGTGGGAGGACATGAGAATACGAAGGGTGAGGGACCGATCCATGGAGGTGCGTCGACGGACGGAGGAGAGCAAAAGCGAGAGGAATGGGGTACACCGGCCGATGGAGAGGTCTACGAGGGGACAACGATGATACCTGGGTGGTTATTGTGGCAAGAAGGAGATGCTGCAGAACACGCACCAGAATACCAGGGATCCCTTTGTAGTGTGGGCAGGACGGCAGTATTGCAACTCGGAATAGTGGGCAATAGGTGTGAAGGACTGCTAGATACGGGGGCGTCCACGAGCTTTATTCGTCCGACTATTGTGGAACGACTGGGTTTGAAGGTACGCATCCTGCCGGAGGCCCACTCCTTCACAATAGCCAACGGTGACGCTATACTCATCGATAAGGAGGTACCAAGATTGTCGATGCTTTGCGGAGGAGAGTGTTTTACTGGAGATTCCCTGGTAGGGTCAATACAGTATTCTGTCATTCTCGGGATCGATTGGCTAGTTAACCACAAGGTGGCGTGGTATTTCCAATCGGGCAAGCTCAGGACATATGCAAAAGGGCGGTGGTGCGATCTGCCAGTCTTGCGTAAAGAGGGCGAGCCGACACGAGGCACACTGGCCGACTCGGAACCAATCAAAACGGCGGCGGACCACGCCTACGACGAACTGGCTAAGCAAGTTGCAAGAATGACAACGGAAGAGGCGGCAGCATTTCTTCGCCCCCCCCTCAAAACGATATAAATCTAGGCATCGAGCAGGATATCGGGTGAAGATAAAGGATATCCTACGGGAGGCGCGGAAAGACACAGCAATCTTAAAGAGGGCCATAGAGGGACTACACTGTGTAGTCGTTCTACCGGCAGCTGAACCTGATCGCGTTGTTCACGTACCAATAGAGCGTCAGGGTCCACTACTGTTTGCAATCGTAGAACATGTGAAGGTAACACACGATGAACCAGGCACACCATCCACCAAGCCTGTAGATACGGCATCCGTGGATATAGACGACTCACCATGGCCTAAAGCTAAACTGCAATATACGGAATTTGATGCGTGGTCTAATGGTCCTGAGGCTCTTCGTTTACCTACAGAGATACTTACTGTTCTGCGACAACATCGACTCCTGTTCCCAGAAAGCCTGCCTGACGGATTGCCACCCAAAAGACCTTATGATCATCGAATTCTCCTTTTACCCGGCAAACTACCGACGCGCGCGCCGAGATACAAGATGCCGCCTGATCAGCTGGCTTATCATACCAAGGAGATAGCACGTTTCACTGCCAAGGGGTGGATTGGACCTACGTACTCTCCGATTTGCGCTCCCACTATAATGGTAGATAAACGAGACGATGGAACCGGCGAACTGAAGATGCGAATGGTCGTTAATTATCAAGCACTAAACGCACTAACAATAGCTCCTCAGTTCCCTATGCCAAGTGCGCAGACAGTTTTGGAGATGATTGGCGGCGCTGCATACTTCTCGACTCTGGACCTAGAAGCGGGACTCCATCAAATTCGTATGGCGCGGGAGGATAGGTGGAAAACGGCCTTTCGTTCAGTACAAGAACTCTTCGAATATAAGGCAATGCCCTTCTGTCTCAAGGGAGCACCTGCCACATTCCAGGCAAATATTAATGCATACCTACAGCCATTACTAGGTCACGGGGTCATTGCTTATCTAGATGATGTACTTATATACAGCTCGACATTGGAAACTCACGTCCTACTCTTACAGCAAGTCCTCGGCATCTTCCTAAAACACCAGTTCTACCCTAGGCTGACGAAATGCAAGTTCGGACAACGAGAGCTTGCTTACTTGGGATATAGAGTAGGAGCCGATGGGATTAAGCCGCAGCCGACAAGGTGGAAGCGATCCATTTATGGCCTGAAGTTCTAATGAACGAAACACAGGTTCGAAAGTTCCTAGGTACCGTGCTTGGGACCCAAGTATGCCGATATCGCACGCCCGTTAGTGGAGTTGACTCACAAGAACTCGCCCTTCGTCTGGAGAGAGGAGCACACCGC